CGCTTTTCAGTACTTTTGCTTAACTTTTTATTTGCAGGTAACTTCCATTTCTTAAGCATCGCAAATGTCGGTGAGTTGCATAAGTCATTCTTCAGGCGAGAATTGCTCAAAATGTTCCTTATAGACCTTTCAATACGGCGGCTATGCAGGATATGGCCCTAACCATATGGGGCATGAAAATGATACTGCTGGGATGTACAACCCACGTACTCACTCTAAAGTTGCTGAAAAAGAAGGATTTCACATGGGTGGAACTGATGAGCCGAGAACTCTGTAAGTCTTATCTTTAGCGCAAATTTCACAAAAAGACATCTTGATATCGAAATATAAACTTAGAGGCTTATTTCCAAAAAAGCTATGTAGCTTCTGAGCTCTCATCATTCAGGCGAAGGAAAAAGAAAGATATTAGGTTTAGTTTAGCTAGAGTGCCAATTAATACATTTCTGCTGGAAGTCGGACAAAAATACCCTATTTCTTCACTTTTTCAAAGATCTATTGTTGTTCGGAAAATATTCGAAACTTTCTATAAGTAGTGAATTGTTGACTATCATGTTACTTTACTTGAGGTATGCGAAGTACAGTACAAGTTTTCAAGATAGCGCTTAGTAAACTTTGTTTTGCCTCCGATATACTACGACAAAACCTATCTTTTGATTTCGCAACATCAAAACGAGCGCTTAGTAAGCTTTGTTTAGATTTGCTTTGAAAAAACCCTCCTTAGGACTGGGATTCATGAGATTCTCCAAATGATGCCTCGCAAGTAGTTTATTTTTGGCGCAACGCGCTTTATCTTCGCATCTTTTTTTTTTTAACGCATCATTTAAACAATTCTGTAAATCTTTTCACCGTGGCAAAACGTTTAACAAATAAAATCAGTTAATCTACAAGCCTTAAATCTTGAGGTTCGGCGATCGGCCAAAACTCATTCCACGCTTTCGAAACATGTGCTCCTATTTTTGAGGCGCCAACTGATTTTACGATTCTACAAGCCGTTTTAAATCTGGATAAATCACTTCTTCAAAAATCTAATAATTATAGCCCTCATATGACGTCAGCCTTTCTACAATTGTTGAAGAACAAATTCGCATGGCGTGAAGAAAGGGAATTCAGTAGGCATTAACATACTGCACGAACAAAACTTTTTAACTTCAACGAGGGATCCTGTGTTTTTCAACCGTTTTTTCG